GGAGACTGAGGAAATGCTTCCTCCTGCCTGAAGCAGACTGATCACTGGGGGAGGGGAGCCTGAGGAAATGCTTCCTCCTGCCTGCAGCAGACTGATCACTGGGGGAGGGGAGACTGAGGAAACGCTTCCTCCTGCATGCAGCAGACTGATCACTGGGGGAGGGGAGACTGAGGAAATGCTTCCACCTGCCTGAAGCAGACTGATCACTGGGGGAGGGGAGACTGAGGAAACGCTTCCTCCTGCTGCTGGCTCCAAAACCAGCGCCTACAGCCTCTGCCCCCTTCCACTCTGGCGGTCCATGGCCTGTTGACATCATTTTGTATAATGTCTGGTTCATAGACCTGCATCAGACATGAGGACGATGATGAGGATTGGTCAGAGTGGAGAGGTGAGTGGGGACCAGGTAAGTAAATCTGCTGCATAGAATCCCCCCCAGACAGTAATCGGGGGAGCCCCGGTGCAAGGCGAGGGTTTCCTTGCAGTTATGCATGTTACGTGTGATGGTGCATTGTGGTGCCATTCGTTGCATACAGCCCCCTAATGCACCCCCAAAATGAATGTATGATGCAACACTGTAGCGCAGCAGAATATAGGGTGTCCTGTGCGTTGCATTGAGAAAGAAAACTCAGTCAGCTATTCAGCGCCTATTTCTTCATGCATTGAGGTGCATTACAGTCCATTCATTGCGCTCCGGCTGTTCCCATTGCTCCACATCGTGTGCCAACACAAGAAAAGCCATGCGCTGCTCCGCACTGCATTGTGGTGTGAATGGACCCTAAGGGGTTTTGGCTGCCCCGACATCAACTGCATGTTAAAGGAGAAGTATGAGGTGAGTGATGTCCACGCATCCTCATAGTTAGAGCCGACCTGTGACAAAGAAGCGGTCACACGTCGGCTCTATCGATCGGGAAGTGAGCAGAAACATGCAGCCGATCAGCTCACTTCCCCATCATCTCCCTGCAGAGAGCCGTGACTGTCAGTCACGGCTCCCTGCAGGGATTCCCCCCCTCCCCTGTCCGATCCTCCAGCGCTGACTGGCAGAACGGGGAGGGGGCGGGTACAGCTGGCTCTGCCTCTAGATAGGCAGAGCCAGCTGTCACTCACGCAGCTGGGCGGATCCAGACAGTAATGTCGGGATCCGTCCCGGCTGCGGCGCTCACAATAGCCGGCTATACTGAGCTTTGGGTGACGGGAGGAGGTTAGTATGTGTCTTCCCGTGACCCTAAAGAGAACTATGGGGAAAAACACTGACCCCCATTGCAGGGGCGTGCCGAGGCTGGGTGACACCCGGAGCGGTAACCGAGTGTCACCCCGCCGAGACGTCACTGCGCATGCGCGGCAGTATTCTGATACCTGCCGGCGGCCATCTTGGTGATGGACGCCGGCAGAGAGAGGAGGGGACAGCCACCCGGCGGGATAAGGTATGCCGCCGGGTCCCCTCCTCTCTCCTGATACTGTCGGGCATTCGGTCCATGACCGTGCGCCCGACTTTTCAAAAGGGGGGGTGACACCAAAATGACTGAGAGTCATTTTGGTGTCACCCCTCCAATGGTGTCACCCGGGTGCGGGCCGCACCCCCCTTGTGACGCCACTGCCCCATTTTTCTCTTTTAAGGGTTCTGAGGAGGTTTTTTTGGTTATATTGCTTGAACTCAGATTTCCTGCGTCTTTTATAACCTGACAATGTAACTTTATAACACTCTAATGCGATCAGACTGCATGTGATGAATAGCGCAGATACCTTTGCAGCGGAAAGTGACACTGCTGCCTTCCAGCGCCTCCTGACTTGGTGGCGTGAGATCAAACTTTGGAGCGGTCCCGCTATCAGAACCGTCAGTCTCTGCTGCCCCCTTCTGGTCATCCCCAGACACAAGAGACACCTTCCGGATTTTGGAGCCCTCCACGTTGTCACCCTTCTGTCCGGCGACGTTACGGCCGGTTTCAGGCGTGGGAAGGATTTTTACAGACTTCAGAGTGATGGTGCTGGACGATTTCTGCTGATACTTCCCATCGGCAACGCCACCGGAGGAGGTGACCTCAGCGGCTGGCCCTCCATGGTGGACACCAGATATGATGTTGTTGGGCACATCTGGTTTGGGGTTTGGGGAAGACCTTTTTTTAAGTAAAATGTTGGTGGTTGACTGGCAGGTGTTGGCGGCTCCTTTGGTCTGGTCCGGTTTGGGGGCGATGTATTGCGCACTTTTCAAAGACGTCTCTTTGGTGGCCACACGTGAGGTCTTCAGAGGAGGCTCAGCTGGAGCGGAGTCTCTAGTTTTGTCATGGATGGATATGAAGGTCGTCTCTCCTTTCGCCCTGAGAGATACAGAGGCCTCCATTGAAGACTTATCAGCCAACGTTACGCCATCTGTTGCGGAAATATCGGCCGGCCTGACCGATCCCAGCTTCCGGTTGCCATTGGGCAAAACATTCTCTTTTCTCGAGTCGGACGTCCACACATCGGTCACTTTCGTTGTTGCGCTTGGTGTACAATGGCGCCCAATGTTGTGTCTTGTACTTCTGGAAGCCAAGGAGCCGGTCTCCATAGGGGATGGACTTTGGGCCTCTGGTGTCTTCTGGAATGACCTCACCTTAGACTCTATGCTACCTGAACAGCTTGATACCGCAGACGAGGCCGCCTTCGGAGGACCGGACTTTGCCTCTTTCTCAACGGGAGGTTTAGCCTTCAAGTCTAAACTTCGAGGATTTGCTTCACTGGAGGGTTTGGTCTCGGCCTCCCTAGAACGGACTCGTGATTTGTCCTTTGGATCCAGCATTGAGGTATAACGGGAGACGACGGACGGCGTCTCTCTGGCTGTTCTGGTGGTCGGAGCCTTTGCATAGCTGGTCGGCGCCGGCTCTTCGGATGGTTTGGGTCGGGAGGCAGCGGTTTGAGTGTCAGTGATTGGAGATGGCGCAGCTCTCAGGGAGGCGCTCGGGGACCCGGACCTTGGGCGGGAGCGCTGGGTTGTGGAGGACACCGGGGAGACAAAACTCGACTTGACTTTCACAGGCTCTGCATTGGGCTCGTGCTTCCAGGAGGAACTTTCCACGCTTTTCCTGTTTTCTGCCTCCCTGTGCATTTTAAGAATACCATTGGAGGAGACGGGAGGCTGAGGCTTGGCTGGTGGTGTCACAGAGCCCCCTAGTGGAGAGGAGATCCTGGAAAAGAATCAGCGGAGACATTTATCAGCCGAGGATACACTATCACAATCCTAATCTGTAATCATTGTCTGCAGTCACTATAGGCGACTCCGTCCGATGGAACAAAATATATTCAACTTAAAGCAGAACTCCGGGAATTCGCAAAGTCAACCCTGGGCAGCACAGTGGCGGAGTGGTTAGAGCTTCTGCCTTGCAGCACTGGGGGTCCCTGCTTCATATCCTAGGCAGGTCACTATCTGCAAGGAGTTTGGATGTTCTCCCTGTGCTTGCGTGGGTTTCCTCCCACACTCCAAAGACATGCTGGTAGGTTAATTGGCTCCTCTCTGTATGTGAGATAGGGGCCTTAGAGTGTAAGCTCCTTGATGGTAGGGACTGATATGAATGTGCAACTATGTAAAGTGCTGCGAAAAATTGTCGGCGCTGTATAAATACCCCTGACCCCCCCCATGTGTTCTATAGTTAGCTAGAATCTAACAGGTTCTCTGTAAAGCAAAGGACAAGTTTAGGATGAATCTATGCATCAAACAGAAGGGTACTCACTTGCATTAAACACCTCGCCCTCGCCTGTCCGCCACATCTCGTTAGTAGCCACAGAGAAGATGGTGACAGCGTTCTTGGTGTCAGTCTGCCTCATTACTGGGTCCTGCCCAACACGACCTAAAATCTGCACTTTGTTTAGGGCTGAAACACAACAACAAAAGAGAACCATTAAAAGCCAGCTACCTGGGACACATCCAGGCTACCTAGTAACAGCCAGGGGGGAGTGTCTGTACTGCCTACAGCAGCCAATCAGATTTAAGACTTAAAGAGGACCTCCGGGAACCTAAAAAGAAACCATTGCTAGCGGGCTAGCCCCCCACTGCAAGGGTTAACAGCTTGTTTTGATCTAGGGGCTCAAATTTAAAAAAATATATACTCACCTGAACCACGATCCCATCAGGCTGCTGGACTGGTCCCCGTAGCCTCTCCCCTGGGCTCTGCAGTGGTCTGGATCTTGGGAGGAGTTATGATAATATCAAAATGCCTGGATGTCAGTCTGGAGGAGTGGGCGTTCCTGGGCAGGCTGTATTTGCATGCAAACCGCCCACATGTGATGCTGAGCTTCCATGAGTGAAGGGGCTGTAATCCAATTAATGAAAGGGGCGGGGCCAGGGACAGTCAGGCTGGGGAGGACAGTATAGATGATGCTGGATGTTCTCCAGCCAGGAAATGAGGCGGGATCTATCTGACTTGCTGCAGCTTGTAATACACATTGTGAGGAGCTCCCAGTGTGCAGTGATATCAGAGGAAGAGGGGAGGAGCCGCTACAACTGTGCAAGACTGAAGGGGAGGACGGAGGTCAAATAGAAGACTGAAGGGAAGGACGGAGGTCAGATAGAAGACTGAAGGGAAGGACGGAGGTCAGATAGAAGACTGAAGGGGAGGACGGAGGTCAGATCTAAGGCTGAAGGGAGGACGGAGGTCAGACAGAAGTGTTGCATTACAGAGGAGATGAGGGTTTGATATCTATAAATCTAACATGAAGATGAAATGGAGATTACGTACCGGTCGGTCTTATCACAGCCTGGAAAAGAGAAGAGAACATTTATCAGTAAATAATCATCTTTTCGGTTATAATGTATCAGCCAAAAATCTACAAAACCGAGGACCTCCGCCTGGAACATGACAGCCGCTCAGCAGCCTTCCTCCTGTCAGAGAACGTGGGTACTCTCATTGCTGTAACTGGCTCACAGACACTATTCATATCATTATAACCATTCAGCGGGACGGAGACATCCGGCAGAACTCGCAGCAATTTCGGCAGTTTTAGGTCGGTGCCAAAAAAGCCATTATTGATTTAGGTTCTGAAGAGATTACATGATTTAGGAGTTCGGGGAGCCCGGATCTCAGCAACGCCGAAAATATTTCCCTCCGACTCCACAAACAAAAGCGCCCGGCCGGCGAGACGACGCGACACACGGAAATCCGTCTGGAGTATTAATACTACAAAACGAATAATCCAACAAAACCGACGCGGTGGTCGGGGAAAAAATATTACTTACTGATCCCCGAACCTTGCTACAGAAATGACAGAATCTGATCCTCTGTATCAGAGGGTAAGTAGAGATATGGATGGAGGGAGGCCGGTGGATGTGGTATATCTGGATTTCTCAAAGGCTTTTGATACGGTACCACACAAGTCTCCGCTCTAATTCATCCCAAAGGTGTTCTATGAGGTTGAGGTCAGGACTCTGTGCGGCCAGTCATGTTCCCCCGCCCCCCCCAAACTCCCCCATCCATGTCTTTATGGACCTTGCCGAAGACCTTGCACCCTTCGTTCTGGAGGGGGGCTACATCTCTTCCCCATGGTCCCTGTGTGTGTTGTAAAGTAGTCACCGCTCCAAGCTTAATCCCGGGATGGACTACAATCTCAATACAAATCAGTAAACTAAACATGAGATTGTAGTCCATCCCGGGGGGAGGGGGGGTTGGCTTGGAGCGGTGACTACTATCCAACACACACAGGGATCATGGGGAACAGACGTAGCCCCCCTCCAGAAGGAAGGACAGTGTCAGAGATGATTGGAGGATGTACAGCCGAGTGACACACAAATAAGATACATTGTTGTTGTTCGAAATTCAGGGACTTGAATGTATTTTTAAAGGAGAACTATGAGGGGGGGAGGGGGTGCTTTTTACTCCCCTCATAGTTCTAGCCGACCTGTGACAATGAAACTGTCACAGGTCGGCTCAGTAGATCAGGAGGTGAGCGAACACATTACCGGCGTTCGCTCACCTCTCGATCCTGTCACGGCTCTCTGCCGTGACAGGGGGAGGGGCTGGATTCCCCCCTCCCCGCTCCGATCCGTCAGCGCTGGCTGGCGGTACGGACGGGGGAGGGGGCGGGTACAGCTGGCTCTGCCTCTAGATAGGCAGAGCCAGCTGTCAGTCACGCAGCTGGGCGGATCCAGACATAATTGTCGGGATCCGCTTCAGCCGCGACGTCTCAGTATATAGGGAGCTACAGCTCCCTATATACTGGGCTTAGAGTGACGGGAGGACGCTAGTTTGTGTCCTCCCGTTACCCTAAGGAGAACTATGAGGAAAAGCACTGACCCCAGAGTTCTCCTTTAAGATTTAGCTCCGGAGTTTTATTGTCACTTTAACTGAAACATGAAACATTGTATCCGAAGGAAACACTGAAATCAGAAATCAGACTTCAGTGTTGGATAAATCTTATACAGAGGAACATACAGGGGATCAGAAACCATGACATGTGTAATATCCTTACAACAATATGGAGTCCAGAAGATTCTAAATAGGGATAATTTCAGGCTCAGTCCGCACTTGTGCTTAGGGGCAGGGATTGGGTCTGATTGGGTGGCGTGGAAGGATCATCCTCCTGTGTTTGGGAGAAGCTCCTTCCAGGTTCGGAGGAGCTCAGGTTTGGATGGGGTTATATCCAATCCCTTACTCTAAACTAGTGATCATTGTACAAAGGACGGACTGGATCGGACTTTAGCGAACATCGTGTTGCCATAAAAGAATGTTCAGACCACGAAGCCGTCACGTACAAGTGTCTCCTCATGTGATGAACGTTTGGTTACATGATGAATCCATAATGTGAGTTCAGTGTACGCCGTTCTCAGAACGGCTGGATGGAAGATCCCCCCACTAGATTATAATAATAGGGTTACAGATATTGCAGATTGGGGATCCCCCTTAGTCTGGCTGGACAAGGCGGCTTCTGATGGTTGTCAGTGATTTTATTTAGAATAATGGTGATTTCTATGAATGGATACAAAACAGCTGCACAATTTATTAATGTTTGGGGACAGAGTATCTTTGGGTCTATGGTAATTTACTATAAAGGAGGAACGTGTGGAAAAAGATTGTTAACCAAAATATATCATTTCATGAACGCTGAAGCCGAATTCCCAGTGAAGTTTATACGGAGGGGGGTGCAGGGCATTTTATTTGCACACTAGAGGGCGCTGTGTCACCACTACATATATAACATAGAGGCGACTTCACTATTACTGATAACAATGTATCAATGTATTAACTTATCATAAATCACATATTCAGCCAAATCAGCCCTCCTTCCTCACTTTTTATACACCGAGTGGCCGGATTATTATATACACCGAGTGGCCGGATTATTAAATACACCGAGTGGCCGGATTATTATATACACCGAGTGGCCGGATTATTATATACACCGAGTGGCCGGATTATTAAATACACCGAGTGGCCGGATTATTATATACACC